TTCAGTCAGCCTGGTTTCGTAAGGCAAATGCTGAAGATTCTTGACCATCTTCGTAGCCATCGCCTGTACTCTTTCCGGTCGTTGATAATCTTTCTTTAACCACGGTCGCCAGGCCTGGACTGCATACTCTATGTGAGACCGGACGAATGCCCCATAGGTTTTTCCGAATAGCTCCTTGTCGATCTGCACAAATCCTCGCCTCAGCGCAAATAACACCCTTATCCCACTTTTGGCTGCCCTTTGACACTGTGAAGCTGGTTTCAGCGAGGAGGTCATTAGGACTCCCAGGTCTTTCTGTTCCACAACATTTGAAAGGGACTGACCACCAAGGACGTATTGAAAGGACTCGTCCTCCTTACTGGTCTGTCTGGTGCGGAGTCTCAGGACCACACATTTGTCCACATTAAAATTGAGGAGCCAGCGAGCTGACCAACTGTTTAGGCGGTTGAGACTGTCTTGAAGCGCGTATCTGTCTGCATCAGATCTGATGGGTCTCCACAGCTTAACATCGTCAGCAAACATGATGGCGCTGCATCCCAGGTCGTCGACGCAGTCGTTAATGTAAACCAGGAATAGCAACGGCCCTAAGACGGAGCCCTGGGGTACACCACTTAAAACGGGAGTCGGAGTTGACCTTGAGGCCTCAACGCACACGGTTTGCGATCTCCCGGTAAGAAAATCTGTTATCCATGTCAGCAGCCTTCCTCTTATCCCAATTTCAGAAAGTTTGTAGATAAGGCGTTTGTGTGGGACGCTGTCGAACGCCTTCTTAAAGTCTGTGTATATGACATCAACCCTCCCATCCTCATCCAGTGCGCGAGTCCACTGCTCCGTCGAGAGCAATAAACTGGAAAGACATGAGCGGTTCTGTCTAAAGCCGTGCTGCAGGTCTGAGATTAAATGGCCCTGCTCCAGGAACTCCATTGTTTCTTTCTTAACTATGGCCTCCATTATTTTACAGCAGATACAGGTTAGACTAACAGGCCGGTAATTGTTAGCATTAGTGCGAGCCCCGCCCTTGTATATCGGAAAGATATTTGCTGTCTTCCATTCCGATGGCAACCTCCCTAATTCGAATGACGAGCGGAAGATGTGCGCCAGTGGTTTGGAGAGTTCATTTGCCAGTTCTTTCAAGAATTTGGCCGGTATATTGTCCGGACCCGATGACTTTGCTTCTTTGAGATTTTTCAGCTCCCTTTCCACGGCAGCTGCCGGGAAGAGTATGGAGTCAAGCACGGGACCAACAGTCTCAAGAGCATTGCCGGCACTGCGACAGCGAAACTCTGTTTCTCTAGTAAAAACGGAGGCAAAATACTGTCCTAAGTGTTCGGCTTTCTCGTTGTTCTCAATGATCTCTACACCATTATCATCCTTCAGCACCGCGACCGGGTCCTTATTTTTCAGTCTACTGTTCAGATAGTGAAATAAAATCTTAGGTTTCTGTTCAGCCTGTCGTATAATTTTGGATTCATACTCCTTCCGTGCCTGACGGATACATTTTTTGACGGCGTTTCGTTGACGACGAAATTCTTCGAAATGCGCTGGTGACGCAGTTTCCCTGAATATTTTCCATCTTTTGCTTTTCTTCCGTAGCTGCTTATTTAGGTCCCTAGTTAACCAAGCAGGTCGACTGGTTGTTTTTTGTACTTTAGGTGGACAACAGCGCCTAATCAGATCGAGTGAAATCGTTTTAAAACATCTCCAGTCGTCCTCCGGATCTCCCCTGAATATTTGGTCCCAATTCACGGACAGCAATTCGTTCTTCATCATATTAAAATCTGCCTTCCATATATTAGGCTGGCCCTCTGTTCTCTTCTGGCGTTTAGAGAAGAGCGAGTAATCCCATAATAGCGTGGTATGGTCACTTTTCCCGAGAGGTGCATTGGAATACACTTCGTCGATATTAGAGAAGTCTTTAGTGAAAACTAGGTCTAGACAATTTGCTCTCTGGTTCTCTCGAAATCTTGTTGGTACCTTCACATGTTGCGCCAGAGGGAGATCGAGTGTGAGGTCCAGTAGCTTATTGCTGAAAGAGGCTGGTCCACCATTAACTGCCATAGTTTCCCACTCTATTGCATGTGCGTTGAAATCCCCAGCAATAAGTACGTCTTGGTGGCTAGCTACGTCTTTGACTAAACCAAGGAGCGACTCATCAGCTGCTAGTTGCCGGTTGTCTGTCTATTTGGGCAGTCGCTTGAAGTTGGTCGTATTGTTCGTTCGTGTTTCCCAGGAAGCTTACCATAGTTGTCTGTATTAGCAGGTGGAATCGCAACCCAAGTCTGACAACATAGAGCATGCGGCAACGTAGTCAGGTTTTTGACATTTCTGACTACTTTTTTCGTGACTGAAATCGACTCTGCCAGGGTGACATAGACATTTTTATTTGGAAGTTTTAAATGCCAGATATTGAGTCACTACATATTTGATCAATGGAGACCATGCAAGCTCAATTGACAACAGAGAATCAATGCTAAAAGAAGATCATCCGATGTTTCTTTCAATTGAAATATTCTTCCAGGGAAGGAGAATTTCGAAGAAATAAATAAGGGAAAATAGTAGAAAAATATGAGTGAAAAGATGTTTCAAACAAGTATCTACTTTCGGTGGAGCAATTCATGAAACAATAAGGGCTTACACTATGCCAATCATCTACTGGCTTTGCTGAGAGAGGGAGTCAGGAAGGAAAAACGTGACAACACCGTCCCAAAAATCTTAAAATCTGTCCAGAAAAGCCTAAGTCCGTATAGATTATTACAGAAAAATTTCAGTATAAGGCATAAATTACCTACCTGCAACCGGGGGTCACCTCCGTTACCAAAACTTAATAATGGGTGATAGAAAGTTTCGTTGGTGAATTCCAACTCTTCCGTCGAGATCGGCTTCATACGTACGGAAGTGAATTAATAATATAAATCAAGTTATGAGTCATTGTATATGAAGGTAAAATCACTTTCCCAAATGATAGTGGAATAATACGATCGAAATGAACGCGCACCAAGCGACTAATGTGGAGGGTTTGACTATATATATGGAGCTCACTTTAACTGCTTACGTTAATGAGGCATTGCTTTACCCGAGCGAAGGGATGTCCAACAACATAAGGCATTAATTATCAGAAATCTTTTTACACCAGCAGTCAACTGGGACTGTCATCAGTCAATAACTAACGTAAATCCCTGGTTCTCAGATCACGATAATTCTTCCTTATGCCGAAAGCTGCATTTACGAAGATAAGTCAAGAGTTTCAAAGGGACAGTTATCTCGATCTCATTCTTGCGAAAGACCTAGATGAGGCAACAAATTTGGATCGGTAGCACCGCACAGCAAGAATAACCACGTCGAATTCCTCCGTGGAAACTCCGAGTATAGGGATCAGATGGAGGTGGGGGAGATACGAGCGAATGTCATGCGTAGAATTCACACCGTGGTGGGAAAGGATATATAAGTGACAAATTGATAAGATGCTCTTGTAGAAATCCTCGATGCCAAGTAAAACATTTTAATAGATTTATAGATGATAATATGCAATATTCTTGGCCGACAAATAGAATTCGACTGTCGGATCACCCTAAGCAGGGGAGCCGGATTCTTCGCATCTGCGTCAAACAGCAGCACAAAATTCGTAGAAATCATATTTGTCTTTTTAGCTGTCGCCCGGGCTGCGTGTGTGGCTAGTCAGTCTATATTCATATGGGCTTTGGGTTTGGTGTCAGACTGGAAATACCTTGTGAGCTACTAGACAGTTAAAAAGAGGGCGATGAAGTTTTATGGACGCTGAAGTCTCTGTCGACTGACTAAGTTTAACATGTGCCCCCAAGCTGGCCACGTGTTAGATGCGCTGGACCAACACGGGGACATATCGGATTCCGGTAAGTGTTATCGGATTGCGCACCATAGTAAATGTTAACACTTCGGGGTGCGGTGGCAGACTCAGATGCCGGCAGACGTCGAGCAATCTGGAACACCTTGCTGCCCCCCCTTCCCCATTTTGTTGTTGGATAAAAACCTGGTCATTTTCTGTATGGGCTGGGATGTGGAGTGGAGTGCCAAGATGCAGGCTCAACCGTGCCATCCATCTGCGCCCTACCCCGCTTTCGGTCATCTTGACCCTGTCTTGACGCCGGGTCCAAGTAGGGGAGGGTGAGAAGGGAGAGTGCGGTAGATGTTACAGAAGTGTACATTCACTATAAACTAGATCACACACAAATCAGCGTGCCTGCTCCCAGCTCGCTGTGGACCACACGGTGGACATTGTAGGAAATGGCGGTCGAACTGTCGTTGAGTGACGATTTTGGTCTTTTGCCTGAAGAAATAGAACTAAATTGAGGCGTCAGGATCGCAAATTCAAGTGCAAATGTTATGAGGTTTGTCTTTCTAGAATTTCGCACACTCTCTACAATCGTTTCAGCTAATCAATACGTACAGTCCAAATGATTCGGTCTTCGACAATCTTAATACAGATTCATGACGGTGGCCGGCAGCCAAATGCACAGCACGTAAGCCCTAGGATTTACTGCGGACAGTCTAAGGACCTGCTCGCTTTTACCAACTCAGTGAGTAAGTCGCATTCCCCGTCACCTCCGTCCTCACGTTTACGCAGTCTCAGTTTTTTAAAGAGAACCCAGCAGCAAGTGACACTGACAAATCCCAACCCAACAACAAATTGCAGTAGCGGGCAAGGCCGAAGTTGGCGGAAAGTCGAAAAAGACGAAACGGCGATTTGTCGTGCTGTGCTTCTGTCGGGCCTTTTTCTTCTTTACCTTACAGACCAGAGCGAGGATTCAAACAGATTTGAGAAGACAACTCCAGTAGATATAGTGCCTACCCCAGACCCACAGCACTGAAGTGCCTATTAATCCCTTTTGACCGCCATTATCCTCATCTCCATTGAGATTACACGCTCCCACCCTCATATCCCCCATCTTAATATATGAATATCTTGTTTCCAAACAGTCCTTCTCCTACTGAGTGCCGCACTAGCTTGTGTTTCTGATTGAAGGATGAGTGACGCTGACGATCAGTACAATTCAGAGATGACGCTCGACTCTGAGTCAATGCCTACCCCTGAAGGTGTAACAACCGCAGAGATCACGGCAATAAAGGGGACAGGACAGGTGAGTGGCCCGTCTTCAACAAAATCCCCTGCGCCCACAAAGGGGCTAAAGATGTTAAGGGTACACATGCGAGGTAACGTGAAGCCCTGAAAATGGTTACTGACTTAGAACGGGCTAAACAGGTTTGTAAAGCGCCCTTAATTTTCATCGATCAAGGAGAAAGAATATATTACAAAGTACAAATTATATACTTGGAAGAATGACATTGGGATACAGAGAAATGTTAGATGGCACAAACGGTGATAAGCTACACTAAAGGCATTATCCGCCTGGATGGGGAGGTGACGCTAACATGGCTGCCATATAATTTATGGCGATAGAGGCGCTTGGGGTTATGGCAGGGCAGGGTCGTGGAAAGGGCCGACATGGAATGGGATAAGCACTACGGCGAACGGCAAAAAAACTGCGGGAAGGATGTTTGGCTCTTATGTAGTAACAAGATACCGGCTATTTTTACCCAGACGCTGTTACAGCATCTCCATCGTGAATCTATGATGAGAGAGAGATTACCACATTAAAACAACTCAGTTCAATTCAATGGGCGTTACACTCACATCTATCTACCATCCCGGTGGTTAGTATGACAATGGAAAAAAATTTGGCTGAGGGATATGTCCGAACGTAGTCTCTCACTTCCGAAAAACTACATAGACCTTATTGCTCTAAGCTCTGTCCTACCCCGATCGCTTACCACAATCCCTAAGACAGGACCTTTCTATCAACCCCCGAAATTTATAGTGCGAAAGCTATGCTGGGAATGCCCGCATTTCCACGAAGTGTCAGTCCCACTGAAGAGCACGTGTCTGCGCCTCCCACGCCCTATGCCATGAAACTGTTCTCCACTGCTTGGCACATTGGCTGTGGCCACAGTGCTCCCGTCAGATACGGTTGGTCCGTGACTACGAAAAACCGCTGGGTTCTTCTAAAACTTTCTCCATAGGCGGATAGGACAGAACATTAGCCAACATTAACGGGATAGTATAAATGTACGCAGCTTTTCCGTGGCATTGACTTGCAGGTTCTACTGCACTTTCTCGTACCCGATCATGTTCTCTTCCTCTGCAGTGTTGGTGTTGGGGACAACAGTCAAGTTCGCGTATTCTTCATGCGATTTCTGAGTACCGAGCAGGGTCATAACAAGCCTGACCTTACTAAACCCACTTTTCCACATGAAAAGTAGCTCTTGTTTAGTGCACTTCCTCGAAAAGTGTACGATCAGTGAAATCTCATCTTAAGTGTCACTCCGCGACAAGTGGTCTCAGTCGCCCCACAGCCTCACTTAAACTTAAATACGCAGTAAGATTCAACATAGTGGTTTTGTGTGGAACCTTGGTTAGTTAGTTATGATGTTGTGTCTTTCCTTTCATTCTTTTATACTCCTAATTCCACACCTAACAATCCAATGTCCGCGATTACGATGTCACATATTTTCATCGTTATCCGCGTCGGGAGACAGTCATTCCAAGCTTTCTGTGCACTTTTAGTCATTGAGCAGCTTGATTTTGTATTTGTAGACGCAAACAATAAACCCTTTTGCACTGTTGTCTTAGTGCCTTATGGAAGATCAAGAATAAAATTTACTATATGCCAGGCCCCTGCCAAATAAAAGGACTTATTTTCTCACTCTTGCATTTTCATACTGTATAGGCACTATTGTTTGCGAATGAGGCTTTGATAATGCATTGTGCAGCTGACTCCGGACATTCACTTGTTAAACCTGACAATGCGAGGTTTGTTTTAATTTGTTGCCTTTGCTCTGTGGGCGCGTGTCAGCGTGCGGCAGTCGGCATGGCCTGTGCCTGGACGTCTGTTGGCTGTCCTTCCAGGGGTGGATGTTCTTGTCTGTGGTTTGTCAACCCTGGAAGTCGACGTAGCAGACAGTGGTAAGTTCCGCTATGATGATACACTTGCCCTCTATGACTTTTGATATGTCTTCTTTTGATGTCTGAGATGATGTTTTTTAAATCGCGTCTTGCTTTTAGTTTCTAGTTCCACTGAGCTCCGGAGTGGTAAGTCTGTGATTACATTCTCTTGGCTGTCTTACTATCCTGCTGAGCTTTGCTATATGATGTTTACCTGGACCACCTCTAGGACTGTCTTTTCACCTCTGACAGTTCACTGCAGTCCGTCGACGTCGCGGAAAGTCGCCAAGCGCCTGCGCTGTGGTAGTCGACTGGAGGATGGGATAATGGCCATTTGTAAGTTTGTGATGATAAATTTGCTGCTATGATTATACTCCCCGTGTCTGCGGCTAAGGTAGTCATTCGGAAATTCCCTTTCATATTTACAGAAAATTATGCGTTCACGGGAGAACCTACGCACACCCCCCACGGCCGTAATGATTCGGGGAGAATCGCTCTAGCGTTCTTCATTCCGTACGTTGGAATGATTTTTACCCTCTTGCTTTCTTATTTAGTGCTGAAGCCGTTTTATGACCATGTTCTATGCTGTCCTAACTGTTTTGCAATTCTAGGCGGTCGTGCTTTCGAAGGCGTCGGACCGGCTACTCCTTGCGAGTCCTCTGCTTGTACAATCCCGGCATCGTTTTTGTAAATCTTTCCAGAGCAGACTTTTGTGTTTTAAGCTTTCGACTTTGCTCATTGTCATGGACTCTGCTGTTTACGTCATTTGTGGTGCATGGTTCGCAGGCTCCACACATTGGTAGATGATTTCGACGCTGAGAATTCGCTAGTTTTCTTAGAATCACGATAAATAGAATGCATGCGACCTAGGTCTTCTTGCGTGAAAATTTAGTAGCTCACAGGCTGCTGTTCGTAGGCTCGGCGACAGTTCGCGTTGCATTTAATTGCAAGGAACACTGATTGGTGACATCTGGTGTAATGGTTCGCACGTTACTCCTCTGTTAGCACGCGGTGGTATACTTCCCTTATCGCCATTGTTGGGGTGGGTATTTCGCAGAGACTTGTTGAATTCTGGGTGTGGCTGGTCGATACAGTTAATTCTGGCTTTTGATTGGTTTATGGATGCCCTTAGGAAACTGGGTTAGGGTTCATGTGGCTGTTCTGGGTCATCTGGCCTCGCACTGTCTGGCAGTGACTTGCGTTGCAGGCTAAGTGTTTTCTCTCCGGGTGGTGCCGCTTTACGTGTCTAGCGGTTGCTGAGCAAGATGCGCACTGCACTCGGTGACGGCAAAACGTGCGGGACCCACTAAAGGCGGAATTGGTCGTGAAACGTTGCCTCTCGGTCAAACAAGGCTAGATAACGTTTCACGTGCGTCGAGTGGGTCCGCCAAGGGCTTGGCGGCAGTGTGCTCCCTTGCGAGGATGGATTCTTCGGTTAGAGCACTGCTGACTTTGAAGAGGCCCTTAACTCCACTGGTGACCGGATTCAGGGATGGCGGTGGGTTACACTACCTGCAAATGCGTGAACTATGTGAGCATCTCGCCGGATGCTAGTGTTTGTTGAGCCGTGTGGTCCTCCGTTCGTAAGCACGTGGAATGGGATTGCGCCGTCCCCCTGACGTCAAGTGATGTCTACCCGTTATGGGGCGCAATAAGGTTGGGGTGGGGGTGATGCGTTGGCCAGGTTTCCGGAACGAGATAGTCTGACCGCAGGTTCAGGCCGATACCGGTCTTCGATTGTAGTTTTAAAGTTCTGGTGGGAGGGAGCGCAGAGACGATACCGTCGGTGGTGGTGTTGCATGGTGGACGTGGTATGAATGTGCCAATATTGCGGCGGGCACAGGCTGTTTCGCATGGGGGATCTCGGTACCCGATGCCTAGTTGACGGACCAGCTTGCAGGATGCAGATGCGCTGTGGCGTACCTCAGGTTCTGTGACGGCTGAAATCGCCCGGGCTATCCAGGTTGTTTCTTGTTGGAGAAGGTGCCACCAATCAGTCTTCAGGTGGTCGTTTCCCAGCGTGCGTGTTGCCTCCTAGTACTCTTTGGCGGTGGTTTTCGTGGGTTGTTTCGGATAAGTAAATCAAGACTAGTCTGGTGGGGTGCGGTTGTCAAGGTTCTAGTGTCACGCCTTCCTTTCCTCTGCAAACCCCCGGATATCGGACGTAATACTGCCCTCACCTAGTGGGTCTTTAGTCGTCACTCTCTCGATCTGCTTCCCCGTACTGGTTTGCGCGACTGCTATGCAGTTATTTACTAGGGCCCCTGCTCCCCAGATTTTGTCCGGTTTACTCACGTACGAGATGGACTGCACGCAATGGCGAACCCCGATATCTCTCGCATTCCGTCTTTTCTACTCGTCTAGGCATTCCCAGGAAACAACAAATACCCAGTCCGTTGATTTCTACAGCAGGCTTATTTGCGTTTTATTCTCTGCGGGTTGTCGTTCGTACCAGGTACAGCTGCGATAATGACGGCCCTGGTGATATGGCGGATTGTGCTTCCACGCGCGACGCTCTACAGTAGCGGGTCCAGACGACAATCCATTCTCTCTAGCGACGGGTATCGAGTTTAAAGTATCAGGGAATCACTTACATGTCGTGGATTGCCATACTGGGTCTTGATTTGGCCTTTGCTTGCACGCCACTAGGTGGGCAACGGTGCCGGATGGAGAGCACAAACATCGAGCTCACTAGGTGCATGACGAAGAACGTGGTATCTATATTGCTGGTGGACGTGCCCTGTTGTAGAGTCATTCCCGTTGCGACGATGCAAATATAACCAACGAAGTCGCCAAGTGAGAAGGCGATGGGGTATTTCTTTGAGATTACGGATGGTCCTACAGGTGTGGGGGTGCTACGAACGCCGCATTAAAACGAGCTGTGACCGTCTGCCCCGGCGGTTGCCAGCGTATCCGTTTACTCCTGCTGCCCTCTATCCGCCAACTTTTCTCGTCAATGCACTGCTTAAGACTCGTTTGACTTGCCATCGGCATAACAAGGACTTGACGCCAGCCGGCAATGCATTTTTCGCCGATTAAACGTAGGCGGACAGAGCTCAGGCGCACGCATACGCACTTTGCATCGGGGCTAACAGTCTAAAAAAACTGGCTGTCGGCTGTTGGGAACACCTGCTTAATTGTGTGTACTCTCTCTCTCTAGTCCTCTTTCCTGAGGATGCATGTCAGGCTTATGGGCCTGTGATTTATCGTTGAAGCCCAGAAACAGTCTTTGTACAAGGACGTGATGTTCGCCAGCTTCCAAACGACAGGAAGTGTTCCGGTGTCAAGGGAGTCCTAGAAGAGCGTAGACGGGGGCACAAAAAGATCGCTGATAGGTTTTTCCCGGGACGCCTGAGTGGAATCTCTACTGGCTCTGAAGATTTCGATTCCTTCAACGCCTCTTTGTCTTGAAGAAGGAGAAACAATCGCTGGTACAAGATGTTTATTAGCCTGACGTTTCGGATTCCCGCTCGAACCCATTATCGAAGGGAATAGCAGATATCTGCAGTTATATTTGGTGATGGGTTCGAGCATAAGCCCAAAACTTCCGGCGAATAAGGTTCCTGTGCTAACGATTGTATCTCCCTCTTCACGACTGCCTCGCGGGACTCGCCTCTTCATTTCTACTGGCCTCTAAGTCTCTTCGGATGAAATCTTCTGGATAGGATTATCGCTCACGATGAAAAGGAAGGAACCATGCCTCACTTGCACAGACCAATTTGAAAAACTGTAAAAAATGCTCGGCAGATCTGGCAAGAGGGCATAAAATCTTATGGCTATATAGCAGCCAAAAGGTGGTAAAGCAATTCAGGGCTGCTGCTTTTACAATCGCTCCCACGTTCGTCAGCGCTGCTGCTTACCCGTGCTGCCATTATATCCCCTCACGTAACCTGACCATTCACCGCTGGAGCAACGAGTAACTTGGCACCTGCGGAGCTAGAGTTTGGGGCCAGTGAGAACTGCACCCCTCGCAGACTAGTTCCATGCAGACAGTGTCAAAGTGAAAAAACCTACACACCGAAGCCTTGCAACCTTAACGACGCACTCGACTGCTGAGACGACTTGCTGCACCTGCTTGTTGAGCTACAAGGAATCAATTCTAAGGAAAGCTTGTCCAGCCTAACCTACTTGCCCTGACTTGTGATTTAGAAACCCTCGTGTTGTCCACCCATAACACTTCGAAAAGCTCACGCCTGTTCGACGGTGCTGGACACAGTAAATAGAAGTGAAGAGACGAGTCCCAGGAAGCAGTCTTGAAGAAGAAGAAGAAGAAGAAGAAGAAGAAGAAGAAGACACGATCGCCGGGACAAGAGCTTTATTAGCCTAACGTTTCGGAATCCTGCTCGAATCCACCATCAGAGACCAAAGCAGATAAGGGTGGTTCATGCATATTCGGCAGCAGAATTTATAGGATGCACTAGCCATGCTACCGCATACCTATGAATATTCACGCCCCCCCTTCATCGGGGATCGTTGCACGTGGCGTGATGGCCGACATTCGCGTCGTTAATTGCTGCAATTTCATCACGTGCGTTGGATGTTGGTGTGATTATTGCTCGACCCCCTGACGCACAGATCCTGGTGTTGGAAGAAGTGTCCATCTGTGCGCGCCCCGCGTGGCCAATTACTCCGCCTAGACGAAGTCTCAGCACAGAGTATGGAGGGGGAAGTTCATTGCACTTGTTAATGGACTGGGGCCAGTAAACCATGATTCAGGTAGCTCCCCGCTCACGCGGTTGTCACGTCTTGCGAGAATTTCGGCCTAGTCGAATTCGAATATGTGGCCAGATCTCATCGAATGAGCCGCAACTTGGGAGCTGGCGTCATTTCTCCGTACCGCTGCAGCGTGTTCAGCCATTCTCGTTCGGAGCCGTCTTCCGGTTTCTCCGACGCGGTTGCTTTGTCCGCCACTGGACCAGATCCGATAAACGACTCCAGACGTTTCTTGCCGTGGCAGTGGGTCTTTCGGTTTCATTACCAAACGCGTGATGGTTGCCTCCGGTCTGTGTGCAACTCCAACCCCAAGTGGTGCGAGAAGGCGGCCGACAGCTTCCGAGACGTTCCTGACATACGGAAGCGCCCGCCAGGATTTGGTGAATCCACCACCAAAGATCCCGGATGGGGGGGGGAAGCCGTGAATGTTCATAGGAATGCGGTGGCATGGCGATTGCATCCTATAAATACTACAGCCCCTGGTGCATGAATCACCCGCATCTGCTGTTGTTTCTGATGATGAGTTCGAGCAGTAACCCGAAACGTCAGG